GTTCATTAAATCGAGATCCGTTGTTATATTTAGATCATTTCTTAATCGAGAAAATTACACACTTGAACATCGATTTCCGATTAAACATATGTTGACTCATGAAAGCAAGTATGACAAGACTGCTCGACTTTTTAAACGAAAAGTGATAGATTTTCCTCAATGATTTATTTCAGTCGATTAGTATGGATACAGACTATTTAGTAATGAATATAGCATCGATTTGCAACGTTTTACGAGGTCATGTAAATAGACAGATGATTATTATTGATTGACAGCAATGCTGATTGCAACCAAGCATACAATTTCTAGGATCAAATCTACTATTGATCTTCACCAAAATTTGATAGTTTGCGATTAGATGTAAGTGTAGGTATGGATTTGACTGTAAGTGAAATTATGATCGATAATAAAACCCGCACATTCACACTCACATTCTAGTTCTCTTCAGTCATAGTAAATCGAGATTGTCACAACTATTCTGGATACTCTCATAAACTGGGTATAAAAATAAAATAATGTTATTTTTCTTTTTCTTTCAGATTTTTAGTTGAAAAATAAAGGACATATGGGTATCTGTATTAGAGAACATTAAAGTAAAACATTTATATATATCTGATTATATTATTTTCATGCATAGATAAAAAAAAGAAATAAGCATTGTATCGTAAAGAATTTATCTGAAGTATGATTAAAATCTAATTGCTATGATAAGCTTTATGCCATTTAAATTATGAATTTTTGTTTTACTCGTAGGATCTTAGTAACATATTTTCATGTGTTTTTCACTTGACAAGAAAGTTGCTTTCGTGCATCGAATGTTTGATAGTCTCATTTGTGCTGTTTATGTGCGATTTTGTATAATCGTCAGCGAAACACTACAAAGAAATACTTTTTGCCCAGGTTATTTTCGTATTCACTCGTTGTTTTTAGCATTTCAAAGCGAATGAAATGGAGAGAAAACGTAATTCCATGAGACAAATCGGTTAGTCTCATCCCATCACATAGACTCTAGAGAACAAACGGTCTAGGAAAAAGATTTGTTTTTGAGCCTGAAATAGAGTTTCATGGCTTTCTTATTTAATCATTTCCCACACCCACTATCTGTCTGCATATAGGTCAGTTTCTTTGATATTTTATTTTTTATACTAATTATATAAATGTTTTTATTTCCTTTCTGAATAATACTGATAATGTACAGTACAAATCTCTTGTTGAATTTCAACAAATACGATGGTGACTCCAAGACAATCAACTTAGACCGATCTGAAAGTGTAAGTATGAATGTATTTTTTACTTCAATCATACCATGGCACCTACAACCACAACTGAATTCATAACTACCTACTCACCCGCACCCGCATTTGAATTTCAACTTGTGGATTAAAATTTGCTGTAAGTCAATTACTCTGACTTGCACAAATATACATAACAGTGATCGTTTACTTGTGAACATTAGTTCAAAGATAGAAGTCGAAGAAAAACAAAGTTCAATATGTGATCATGTGTCGATTAACCAAAAATGTATAATAAAATGTGCGGGAAATCAAAACAAAATAAAGGAAAATAACATATTTTGATGCTGTCAGACAGTCCTTCAAGTATAACGGTTTTACTTATACATTACATAACTTCTATACCAAACACATACAGTAATCTCAAATATTCGCATAGACTGTAAGGGTTAGTAAGTAACTGCGCAGTATAGATGACTTTAATAAATTTGGAATAGTTTATTTGATATAGTTTTAAATGCTGGAAAACATTTCTATACCGAAATTCAAGATTAAAGACTCTTTCAGGAAAAAAAACAAAAAAAAAAAATAATTGAAAAACTGATTATAGAAGAAGATGTTAGAACAGTTTGTGCGACTCAAACAAAGGCTTGTTGCTGCTTGGAAATCAAATATAATTAGATTCATTTCGAAAGTTTTTTTTTCTCTATTCAAATTCATAAAACAAAGTTTGGACTCGTTTCAATTAGCATTGTCTTTTAAAAATGTTTCACAACTAAATTCACTGGATACTTTTAATTGCATTTAGATATCATTTCAGTTGGTTAGGCTTAGGTTAACAACCCAAAGAAAGTATTATGTTTAATCGAGTCAAGTTCTTTACTAAAAATGCGTATAGTACAAAATATTTTATCTTGATGGAACAGAAAATAAACCTTTTTTTCATTTATAACATGTAAAGTATCAAATTATCTGTCAGTAATCATAATTAAATGTCACGATAATAAGTATTTATGATTTTGATTGTCTATAATACCATAACATAAGTATATTTTCATTAAAATTTTGAAAAAATTCTACTAGATAACAACTTTTATACAAATCACCTTCAATCATGTGGTGGGGTCTTTAAGCAAGATCAAAACTAAAATACATAAGCCATTCTCGAACGAAAATCTACACTTAAGACGGGTCGGCTATCCTAGAAACCTTGATAGATGTAGAGCCGAAACCCTTCATTTTGCTTATGAATTATATAATCATTTATATTGATAAACTGTGAAAACAAAGTGTCGACAATGTAAATAATGTCTTTTGAAATAATGAATATTCCAACTATACCATCGAGTTGCATTGCTAGTGCTATTCCATCAGTCAAGGCAAAAAATTTACTTAATCGTTTTTACACGGTAGTGTTGTCTTTAAAGATCGTAACTAATTACAAATATATCGGTGCATAGAGGAATTTTTTATCGAATAGAGAGCGCCTAAATTCGATGAGTACTTATCTTTCAAAGTTATTTGAAAAATATTCATCTTTCTTTTTCTTCTTCTTTTACAAATAAAGACCACAATAAGTTTTAAATTTCATTAGATAGATTATGTCGTCAAAATATCTAGTTTGTCTCGCTTGTTGATATTAATGTTAAATAGATAACATGTTTTTTCTTCGTCTTTTCGAATTCAACGCGTTCAATTTTAAAAGATCGTCCCGGTCGTATAAGTACTTCTTCTTCCTCCGGATAAGCAGATAGAGAAGAAATATCCATGTTCAGAGTACGATATGAAGTACGTGTTTCAGCCTTCAAAACAAATAAAGTATTGCCAAACTGCTCAGCTTTTGCGCGATTGCGACTACATGATGTAAACGTTTGAAATGACCGTCGTGAATCCTTGCTTCGAGTGACATATTGATACTCAGCAATCATTTCATCGGTCAATTGAGCACCTCGATATACAATGGTACTTGTTCGGTGATTTAAATTTTCGTAGGATAAATAATAGTAGAGAAGAAAAGCAAACGGACCTAGAGTTTCTATTTTACTTCGCCAAACATTCTCATGATTCTTATTACCTATGAGACGCATCGTATGATTTAGAATTTTGTAGAGAAATGATTCAAGGGAATAAAGATAAATGCAACATTCGCCAATCTCTTTCTTTGTTTGGTCTTTGACTTTTTCTAACTGTTGTATAATCCATTTAGCTTCACATTGTTTTCCGGCCAGTTTTCCTTCATGTAAAATACCCAATATTGCTTTCTCTACCATCTCACGTTTTCGATTTTCCCAGTCTATTAAAGAATTAAGATCGAAGAATTTTATGAAGCTATCGATAAAAACCTTTCTGAATCCAACTAAATCATGGAACGAACTGGTAGATACTAATGGATTGGGCATAAAACGTGCTTCTCTCAAACGGCCTTCATCTTTATTTATTTCTACTCGCTTTACCGGACGTTGTTTGCTTTTATCATCGTTCGAAATCTGAACTCGGTGTTCAAAATCAATATGATAATCATCGAGAATAACATAGGCTTTCTTCAATGTCGTAAATGCTTCTTCGATAATTGTATTTTCAATATCCGAATATCGATTCCATTGGGCCGATTCCATGGTTGAAAATGGATTATCATTGGATTTCCAAAACCACTCAATGCATTTTTCTGTCATCCTTTATATTGATCCAAACTAAAAATCAAATTTAGTATCAGACAATGGAAGAAACAATAAAGAAGAGCTGATCGCTTGAATAACAATTGAGAATAGAGTTAAAACTGTAGAACGACTGAAAAGGGTATCGAGTGTGTGCGAAAAGGTGATCATATCCACACACACACAAACATCGGATCTAATCGCTCAGAGAATAAATAGATCATGTTTTTGTGTATCACGGTTGCTGGTCGGAAGCCCTCTGATGATTCTATCTTATGTTATCTCACATCATGCAGAGATTTTCCAATCGTAAAATTAGAGTAGACAATAACAAAGTCATTCATACAGATTTGAAGCGATAATGCTATGAATAAGAAAGTTGAAACAATTGAGTTTAGAAAATGTAGAAAGCCGATAGAATGACATAGAAGAGAATAAAAAAAGTAGCAGTTATTCATTTTGTTTTATGTTTAGGTCATCCATGTTCCAAAAAGATTTGAAAAGAATAATCACCAAGCTAAACAGTTTTGACGAGAGGAAATTTACTAATCAACAATACATGTGCATTATTATTGCATCTTTCATTGTCTATGTCAAATCCCAAGCGACTGAGATAGCAGTGAATATGAAAAAATTCCGTTTATTTCTCGTCTATGCAACTCAGTTATATAAAAATACAATAATGAATTGTTGAAAGAAGGGAGCTTGATTCACTTTTTATAAGCATTCTTTCCATATAGGAAAAATATCAAGAGACTGAAAAGACTCCGATAGGTTATGGGGAGAGAATGGGAGACTACGGTAGATATCTTGATTGTTGTAGATATAACAATAAATTCGTTTTAGACACTATTATTTTGCCAAGGATTTATACTCTCTACAGCACATATATTGTCTACAGTAGAACGTTACAATTTACGTATGTGATTTTTCAAACTTAAGCATGATCAAAAAATTGCTTTAACAAACCTTTTTCTAAGGTACTTTGTACAAGTCTTGACAGAAACATTCTATCGGAAACCTCTCAGACCGTCAAAGATCTCAAGAGGAATACTCATTTAGAGTCGGAATCCTAAGTTGAAGTCCTTCCCTCGCAATCATTGTGTCGAATATGACGAAAGAATTCTTGTCCACTATGAACTGCAACTCCAACGTATTGCACATTTCAATGCTGTAAGAATTCAGTTGCGTTTTCTATCTACGTTCATATCAAATGGAGGGTTTTCGTTGAGAAGTATCACAATAATGGCATCTCTTTCTCATTGATATTCTCATTTCTTATTTTCTCTCATACTTTTCATCCTATTTTCTCTGCCTTGTTTTTGTCTAACTTCATCTCTCTCCTATATAAACTTGTGTTGTATGCAAGATAGATTCAATTTAGAGATATGAATCAAGTTTTTTTTTCATACCTAGCAAAACTCTGAAATAGTAGTAGTCACAGCACAATTTTATTATGAGTTCATACCTCAAGAAATGTGATATAGTAAACACTGATCTTTACATAATGCATTCTAATAATAAGAACAGAAGAGAAATTATTATTTACCATTTTATTTTTTAAGATATTGATAATAAATGCTGCGTAATAATGTTGTCGAAAGAAAGTAGAATAATTCATGTGGCATGCCAATCAGAATTTTTGTTGATGTTGTCGTCAAATTGGTATTATACAAGCAAGTCAGCATGTGTTTGTTTAACTCATGCGTACGAATGAGAGAGACAAATGAAAGAAAAGAAAAGAAAAAAATTAAAAAACTCTTGAAAATGAGAATGAAAGAAGCAGTTACTTTCATTCATTGTCACGTTTGCCATTACACTTGATTACTGCATAAATAAACCGACTGATCTAACTAGCTCTCCAGAGAGAAAACCTACCCAAAATGTATGTCACACAACATTCAGAGGGCGTGGATCAGGTGTGAGTACGGGTCTGTGTCTAGATGTGTGTCAGTGTGGTTATAGTTGTCTTCCCTTCATCCACACCCATACATTTTCATTTAGTGCTGACAAACACTCATGATGCTCGAATATCGTAAGCATTAGACACACATGTAGTATAATTCACTCTTCTTTTTAAAATAGCCCACATCAATCACCTGCCTGTCTGAATAAATACTTCGAAAACACAGCATTTTTTCGAAAACTTTCGTCAACTATT